TATATATATATATACTAGGTAGTAGTCATCACACCACTCTCCTCGACAATCTACAGTATTGAGCATCTTTTTTTTTTCAATAAAACCGTTTAACATAATTTTTCTTTACTTATTTTATTTTCTAATTGTCTGTTTCCAGGTTTGTTACTCAATTCTTCTCATTCTGTTAAGTTCATTTATTGCCTTAGTATTGTAAGGTAATATGTAATCCGTCATTTTGTAGCTGCGGTCAACTCTTTCAAAGTCTACTACTATTCTACTAGTCAAGCCCTGTCATTTGATACCCATATTGAGGTAGTTGTGAAGAAATATCTAATCCGCCATTTTGTAGCTGCGGCCATTTTGAATTTGCATCTTTTTCAAAGTTACTACTATTTTACTAGTCAAGGTCTGTCATTTGATACTCATATTTTAGTAGTTGTGAAACAGTATGTAATCCGCCATTTTGTAGCTGCGGCCATCTTGGATTTAAAATGATGCGGAGTTCATTGAATGGTATTGTCATCAAAAATAAATATGTGTACTGAATATAAGATCAATCTTTCAACAGGAAGGGGGTCAAATTTCTTTTACTAAATATGACAAACAAACAGGGCAAGCTAAATAGAACCGTTAAAAAAACTACCAACCAGAAATTCCAGGCGGGACAACTTTCACAATCGGTGTTGAACCTCATCTCTGAGAACAAATTCATCAAAACAGTTTTTGGCCAAAGGTGCTTCAACTTCAAATTGGGTCAACACTTTTGGACAATCCACGTCAATCACAACAGTCAGAAAAACATAAGTACTAGTCTAATAAAGTAGGTACATCTGTGTATTACCACGTGTTAAAACATATTTCTACTGCTTTAACAGATGAATAAATGTATTTCTATTTCTTACTATTTATATATGTTCTGGCATAGTCCTTCACTGATGATATCACATAGTGAAGTGTCATCCCGGATGTACATCCGTTCGTCTTTGACATCACGAGGTTTTGGCAAGACCCACTTGCCATATTTTCAAGTTCAGCAGGTTCGAAAGTGGCTGGATTCACCATTCTGGTAAATAGGCAAACGTGGTCCCTCACAATGGCTCACAAGGTAAGATACTCTTTGATTTTTTGTAGGGATTTGTGAAATCTAAAGTAAACGTTACAACAACCGCAGCTAAGAGCTCATGGATAAAATAAGAGATGCTAATCTTGCTGTAAAGTAACATCAGTTGAAATCTCTTTTTTTTTAAGTACAAAACACAAGCACTACAGGAAAAACCTTGAGGCTCTCTAAGAGCGATGCCTGTACGGAAGTAGTGATTCACATTGGATTTGAATCGCTGGAGTTTAAATCCATTTGGAAAAAATTTCTCAGGAAGTTTATTCCAGATAAAGCAGTTCTCCAAATGAAAGAGTTCTTGAACAGTGAAGATAGAGGTGTACTGAGTTGAACCTCAAAACGATGTGCAGCCACAGTCCCTTGTGTATTTCTGATATGTACCGCTCTTAAAGGAATCAAATGTGCCAAGTCACTTGAACACTTTCTGTGAAAGTATTTATAAAAGAGAGGCAAATTTCCAACCTTTCTTCGATGATCCAGACTATCAAGGTTGCAAGTGATGTTCGTGTCTCCAAACAGGCGGGTGGCTCTTCTCTGGATGGAACCAGAACTTCAGGGGATGTTTGGGGGCAGAGCTCCATACATGAGAACAATACTCCAAAGAAGGTCTGATCTGAGCTTTATAAGGCATCAAAAGTTACTGAGGTGTGTTCAGTTTTCTGGTTCCAAGCTTTTGAGAAGGGCTTCCTGCAATTCCAGCCACATTATTGTGCCAAGACATATTGTTGTCCATTTCAATCCCCAACAAACTTATCGAAGCAGAAAGTGGAATTGTCTGACCTGACATTATTATATCCGATCTGAAGACATTGAGTTTGTTAATTATCCAAACCAGTAGACAGGCAGACGTCCCTACGAAGTTTTCAATAGATCACCTGATATGACGCCTGAAGATGTTTTTGAGGGAATATGTGACATTTAAAGTGTAAGATACACACTGCAGCTCATTTCAAATCTCGTGGATAGAAAAAGAGAAGTTTGCAACGAAATTACCCCAGAAATATTTAATAATGTAAGAAACAAATTTGTAACCAGACTTCATTACTGTCAGGAAGTAAAAGGTAAACATTTTGAATATTCATTGAAATGAACCGGAGTGAGTTTTGAAAGCATTTTTTCTTGAAACTATGTTTATCATTTGTTTGCAGATTTTTAAAACGAATATAGAACTGAATTTCACTAGTTCGGACTTCCATTGTCTACTATATGAAATGATTTGAAATCCCTGAAACAAGTAAAAAGGAATAATTAAAAAAAAGAATAGCTGAAGATAACAATTATATTAAGCAAACAATAAACCTGAAATGAAATGATAGTGAAATAACCTACAAGTAAAAATATAATAATTGAATAATTATTATATATAATGATTTGAAATCCGTGAGAAAACTAAAAAAGAAAAAAATTAAATAGTTGAAAATAACAATTATATTAAGCAAAAAAACCTGAAATGAAATAATAGTGAAATAAAATACAATTATAAATAGAACAGTTGAACAAAAAATAAAAATAAAGAATAATAAAGTTAAGAGATTCGAAGCCAAGTTAGTTCACGACGTTTCGATTTAGTATCCACAATCATCTTCGGGTCATCACCCGAAGACGGTTGTGGATACTAACAATTGAAACTTCGTGAACTAACTTGGCTTCGAATCTCTTAACTTTTTTATTCTTTATTTTTTGTTCAATTGTTCAATTTTTACTTCGGGTCATCACCCGAAGACGATTGTGGATACTAACAATCGAAACGTCGTGAACTAACTTGGCTTGGAATCCCTACACTTTATTATTTTCTTTTTTCATTCCTTTAATTTTTATTTATTCAATTATTATATTTTTACTTGTAGGTTATTTCACTATCATTTCATTTCAGGTTTATTGTTTGCTTAATATAATTGTTATCTTCAGCTATTCTTTTTTTTAATTATTCCTTTTTACTTGTTTCAGGGATTTCAAATCATTTTATATAGTAGATAATGGAAGTCCGAACTAGTGAAATTCATCACGAAACATTGTCAATCACCTTCAAACAAACGAATATAGAACTGCTAAGTACTCAGTAACTACTTAACCGATTTCCGAAAATGAAAAAGTTTGAATAGAGAATTGAAATGGCTATCATAACAATTAAAACAAGACCCCCAGTTCCATTAAAAAAAAGAAGTAGCGCCCTCTCGGCGAAGAGTGATTTAACACTGTTATCTTCCTCATCAAAAAGAACTAGAAATTACACCTTTTTATCTAAATTTTGTCCTATCTTAATATCTAGTTTCAATCAAAAGAGAAGGGGGACTATTACCTCTGCACTTATTATAGGTAACTGTTTGGGATAAATTTTTTGATTTGTTTTTATCTAGATTTTAGATTTATTCATTTTTTAGATCGTGGAAGGTTACAAAGCCAAAATATATTGATGACCATAATTTGCCTTTGTTTGAAGGTGATTGACAATGTTTGATGATGAATTTCATTAGTTCGGACTTCCACTGTCTGATATTATACCGTAATAGCGGGTGGCTTTGGCCCATTTTGAACTTTATACTAATATTTGCCGGCTTTTAAAAAACCTGAATGTTATGTGATATGCACAAAATATTTTGTTTCACTATTATTATTTCGTTTCAGGTTTTTTGCTTAATATAATTGTTATTTTTAGTAATTCATCAATTAATTTTCTTCTTCTTTAGTTCTTTCAGGAATTTCAAATCATTTTATATAATATCAGACAATGGAAGTTCGAACTAATGAAATTCTTTATAATTTGCCTCGTATTAATTCAGATTACTAACAACTATTTTTTTAAATCCATGAATAAAAAAAACTAAAACCTATGACGTAGAATAAATTCAAAATAAGCACCAAAATGCAATACTCTTATCGGTTTGTTTCACCAACTAAGTTGGCGTCTTCAGGAGGCAAAGAATCAGTTTTCAACGCGCGTGATTTTCATTCTAGAATTGTTCACTTACATAATCAGGATTTCATAACATAAATCCTAATGCACGGAGAAAATCAAAATGAAATAGAAAGAAGTAGATTTACGTTATGCAGTCATATGGACAAAACTAAATTGAGAAAATGTGACTTAACCAAGTTTTGACAGTGCATTTATGAAATATGCTATCAGAATCACCAAGCAAAATGACGACAGGATCAAATCTTCAATTCAGTTTCATGGTGTTGATGTGAGGAGGACGAATATTTCTTTTGTTCTTTTATATAATTTGGGGACGAATATGTTAACTGTGATGAACTTAAAAGCTAAGCTTCATGTTTGTTCATTTAATGATCTATTCATTTTGTAGAAATTCGTATCAGATATAGGATAAGGAAATTTACTTTTGTCTAATTTCCACCAAGATTTTTATTTGTTTCGACCGGTTTAGAAAATGGTTCAATAAACCGAAACCAGTCGTAACAAATAAAAATCTTAGCAGAAATGAGAAAAAAGATATTTCCTTTATCCTGTATTAAACTTCATGTAGCCGAAGAATATTTTTTTATTTCATTCTGGAATCGCTCACAATGAGAACATTCAGAATTTTATAACTAACAAACTCCAGTCGAATTACATTTTTTCACTTCAATTTTTCTTTCACTCTACATACCGCGATTTTAATCTTTCATATTTTTTGCTAAGTATAATTATAGTATAAAAAATATGCTTGAAAAAATCAGGTCTCCTTTTCATTATGTTTTTATACCACAGGTTTTATCCTTTTCTGTCCTCATGAGCATGGTAGAGGTATTGATTTTTAATTTTGAGATAAACACGTTCATTTACAAATTGGAAAAATCTATAAATGAATGTGTGCATACTTCCAGATTGCAGATTCTGTTGCAATAATCAAAATTATTATTGGCGTCATCTACTCTACTCCATAAAAGTACACCCATTTTTTTAATATTATTTTAATCAATATAAACACATTATGGTTTCCAAAGACGAACAAGTCCATCTTCACTATATGAACAAATAAGATTCTGATGAGGGTGATGTGATATACCGATTACATCTTTTTCATGTATCTGAAACAGAAAAAGAAGTAATATAAAAAACCTGAATAAAAATGAAAAAGAGACTTACATTTAGGGTTCTCTCTAATTTTCCTGAATTAGTGGAGAAGCAATACAGAACCATATCTTCACCAACGCAGTAGATCCAATCTCCTCTAGGGGAAACAGTTGAACACACAAAGTCACCGCCTTCACGTTTACCACTAGCAAAAGACCTAACAATCTGAAAACAGTAACATATAAGTACCAAAAACTATTAACAATCACTCATATTTTTACCTGTCCCTGTAAATTAACCAGAACCACTGTATTTGTTTTATTGCAAACAACAAAGTGCTCAGGATTCTTGGCAAAATTATGGATATTATTTACAGCACTGTCACTTGCTCCGAGAGATTTGAAAGTATTCGTACACTCAGTTGTTTTTATACTCCATACCTTCACTGTACCATCAGAGGAAGCACTCAGTATATTATGTCCATCTTGAGTGAAAATTACCTCATTAACAAATGAGGTATGTCCTCTGAATTCTTTCAAAGTTTTTCCAGATTTCAATCCATGTATCCTGTAATGAAATGAATGTATGTGAAAGTAATTATGTTCAACACAGTTAATAAAAATGGTACATAATTAATTTTTCATAAATCAATACCTTACGGTGTTGTCAAAAGATGCACTCAACACTTGACTGTTATCCCTGGAGAACTGCAAACAGGTTATACCTTTGGAGTGTGCTTTTTCAATTTTCCTCAAACATTGTCCAGAACTTATTCTCCACACTTTCACTCTTCCTGCTTGGGATCCTGTCACCAACATTTCGCTATCCCGCGAGAATGCCATACATAAAACGGGGCTGTCCATCATCATAAAATTTTCCTAAAAATATATATTTTGAACTACGATGTAGAAATATAAAATTATAAGGGACAGCTTATTGATAATTTTGTTTATTATTCATTAGTTGTGTTACGTCCATAACATATAATACTGAAAAAAACTGGCATTTATTTCCACATTAACATAACAATTTTTTGAATGATTCAAAATAATTTATGAATATGCAGGGAAAATTATCCAATCCAATAATTATATGGTCGTGATTCCGTTATATTATTATACCAACAGTGCTGTTTTGATTTGTCATAGATCTCATAAGTGTTACTAGGTGGGGTAGTGAAAGGGTTTAAAGCTCTTATCTCTGAGTGGAATATTTTGAGTAAAAAGTATTATCTGTGCTAGGAATCGCACAAAAGAACTCGTTAATGATCAGACCACACAAGTTTTGACTTTTGACGGATTGTCATTTGACAATATGTGATAATAGAAAATCCCCATTTAAACCGCATATGGATTCAACAGAAAAGTCAAATGAATAACAAACAAACAATGGTGGTTCTAGCTATGGTTCGGTATAAAGCCTAGCAGTTTTCTTCATCTCCCAAAGAAGCCAACAGAGTTGGTAAAGCTTGCATCAAGAAGAGTATTGCATTTCTGGTATTCAGAAAAAGTGCTTGTTTTTAATTTATTCTAATTCTAGGCCAGATGTTCCAGTTTTAACTTTTATTTTATTATACTGAGGAGTTGCAATCATTTGACATGTATTTTTTTTCATATTGAATAATTTTGAAATGTATTGTGAGTCATCTTTTGGTACTGTATTCTTACAAATTCAATAACCATTCATCACTTCTTATTATTGTATGGATAATATTATATTTCATATAAATTTTAAATACTACTATTAGTAAGGCAAAACAATAAATAGTGCCCTAAAAAGTTTGAGTATAGTAATCAAAAGTAACTAATTCATCATCGTTTTGACTTCTTCAATAGGTTCGATGTTTTCATGCTATTTCCAGAATACCCTACAAATTTTACCAGTACTTTAAATTCTATTTTACGGTTTAGTTTTTGGATTATATCCCTATCTCAACTGGTTCAAAAGAAACAGCCTATTGCCTGAAGCTGTCACTTGAAGCAACATCCGATTCAAAAATCAAAATTATCTTCCAAAATAAACCCAAGCTGGTATTAATGGTATGAACTAGAGCGGCAAATCAGATCTCATGAGATTGTTAAAAAAATCTTTGCTGATTCGGGTGATAGTCTTCCTGAGGCATAAAATAAAAATCCTCAGAATACAATTTCCAACCTCAATCCAGAGCATGCCAAGAAAAATCGAGTCTTGAATCAGGTTAAAGGGAAGACAAGGAATTATTGAATAGAACTGGCCAATACTTGAAAAATGAAAATTTATATTGAAACTCATTAATACTCATTAGAGAGAGAGATATATTACATACGTTTAATGTCATAAGAAATACATCTTGTCGACAAACATTTTACTGCTAAAAAAAAACAACTATAAATATTAATAAACTGTTAAGTAAATATATAAACACAAATGAGCACATTCACAAACAGTATCTTTGTTAAAGTGTAATCTTGTACATTAAATGCTATGCCATACCGTAAGTGAGAGTCTATGAGGGCATAATAAACATTTTTTGCTGTGTAAAATCCTAGTTCCTTTGATACTATTCTGAGTGCAAAAAACCCGGAGGAAAGTTTCTTGTTTATAATGCCTATATGCTCCTCAAATTTCAGACACTCATTGATATTAATTCCCAAGCATTTTGTAGAGATCTTATTTTCTTCCACTGTATTTTCCATACGAGTTTCTGGTAGATTGCACTTAAAGGTATTTATACTAGTTTTTTAGTGTTGAATGACAGCAGATTTGCATCGCACCATTGTTTAATTTCGCTGAGGTCATTACAGATGTTTTCATATAAATTCTGTTGATTTATATTATGCCACAAAATTGTAGTATCATCTGCAAAAATTGTGAAAGTACCAGAAATACGTACAGTAGCCAGGTCATTTACATATAGTAAAAAAAGTATGGGTCCTAAGATCGATCCTTGAGGCACTCCTGCTTTCACGTTCTTTGTACTTGAGCAACTATTGGTTTTAAAAAACTGTCTACGTCCTGTAAGGCAGTTTCCAGCCATTCCATAATGATGTAGCAGCAGTATTCTGTGGTTAACACAATCATTATTGTATGATTTTCACTATAAAGGGTTTTACAAAAACTGCGACTCGTGTTTTGCTATACAATGGCTTTCTCAAGCATAGTGAAAATCATACAATGAACTGTATTAATACGTTTTGAGAAGAGGAACGTATTTATTCAAATAGTATATGCTGATATACAAACATATTTTCATAAATATTCATATAGACAGCAAATATACTAAAAACGACTGAAAACAAACATACGTTCAGTGACCCTTGACAATCAAATTTAATTTTGAAAGTTGTTCTAAAAATACCAATAAATAAAATGTTTACCTGATGCTATTTAAATAATCTAATTGCTTTTTTGAAAAGGTAGATTGTTGAATTCATTAAAAAATAATGCATTAAAACATGCTTGTTTTGCTTTCGAATGAAAATATTTGATCTATTTCTGGTGGAGTAGAAATCAATTTCAAAATTGAACGTGATATATTTTCGAAAATAAGAGGGGGCTACATTATTAAGAATTTTAAATATGAATATCATTGTAAGACATAACAGTCTTTGTGATACAGAAAATCATTGTAATGAATTTGACATAGCATTAACAGTAGTTAATTGATTTGTTCTCAAGATTGGTTTCATTCCTCGATTCTTCAATTTCTGTAGTTCAGACAGTCTATTCACGTAGTAATTTATCAATGGATAAATTACTAGATATTCTTGAAAAGAAGTACAATTTCTTAATAATATTTTGTGAATATATTCAACAAGCTCTTCCAAAGATTATATGTTAATCCAGCTGAAACCCCAAATATTCTATACAAGTAACAAATTCGATGTTCTCATCTACTCAGATTTTTATATCATTTACGTCAATTATCACCATAGCCTGTCTTCATCACGTTGAATTTCAATTTAACAAATTTCATATATTTATCAAGTTTTCCTAATACTTCATTCACATTATGCTCAAGTTGTTTGAAGTACATTAAATATAACAGTGATTGATAATTTTAAAGCCTATAACTTCTGAGTAGACATGTTTCAAAACTCGAATCATAAAAGAGTGTTTACTTAATAAGTTGATTGAAAAATTAATCTCCCTTGAATGCTAGTTAAATCCACAAAGTCGATAGAATAGCTTGAAAAAATATATCTGTTGTTCAATACACACTATTGACTTAATGTTATGTGTCACAATGCCATTGAATTATTCTACAAAACAGTGTATCATTTACCTGAGCCTGATACTTCAAATCCTTTCGTATTTTTCCAGTTGTGAAGTTCCATACTTCAATAATACCATCAACACTTCCTGTGATGAGATATTGTCCATCAGGAGAGAAACGAGCACACTCAACATGAGACTTTTGACCAAATTTGATCTGTTTGGCCATCTGTGTTGGAAATGTCTCCTCCTCCTGTTCTCTAACAGCAGCTTTTCCTCTAAACAAGTCAATAGTTGTTCCAGGAGGTAGTAAACCTTGATGTTGTTGCCATTTTAATGCTTGTCCGAGTAATGCTAGGAGACGAGAAGACGGCACAACAGATACTTCTCCTGATAGTGCGTGAGCTATGCCGGCACGTCTTTTTTCTTTGCTACTTCCATCTGGATATGCCTCACGAGGGTCAAAATATGACCGAGCCAATAGATTTTCTAAATGTATATATCTTTCAGGTTCATTTTGCTTTAACATTATCATAGGATCCGTTTGTCTAAGTAATGATCTTGCAGCACCCAATTCTCGAAGTTCTATCAATTCCAGGACAATCTGTTCATATAAATCAATCAGCTTTTTGTCAGGAAGTTTCAATGACTGAATAGCTTTCAAAACTGTGTCCCAATGTCCATTGTTTATATCAGCGCAAAATCCATCAACACTATCCACAGTATTGAGAGTTACACCAGTTTCTTCCTGGAATATTATTGTGATAAAATTGATAAATTAAAAAATATGTGTGGCTAATTATCACCTGCAATGTGTGTAATGTTCTCAATAAGTTAGATTCCTTTAGGTACTGTTGGATTAGGCGTATAACACTAAAAATAAAGAAATATTAACAACATATATTTCAATCAAAGTTCAATTTCTTACTCTGCAGATTCAATTTCTATAGACATTTTCCAAAAGATAGTAGATTATTTCAAGTAATATATTTCGTTCCCTTTTGTTTTCTGGACACTAACCACAGAGCAATAAGCTATAAACAATAATCAAAATAAAAATTAATATCGTTTATCATTGGTATAACCAAAATCTACTAACATCCAGTGCCAGTCAAGTCACAGAGGAAATCTGTGGTCAAGTGTTGTTATTCAGAAATGTTCAATTGTGCCCCCCTAACTCCAAACTAGACAAAATACTGATACAGAAAACGTATAATGTGATACTGCTTATTGTTGGTGTTTGTGGTTTGTGTACTCTTTGCTTATTATATTAGGTTTGTTCCAACAAACGATTGCAAACAGTTTGCAAACCGTTTGATGAACTGCTTTATTGGGCATACTCGATCAGAAACCAGTTGGGAACTAATCCGTGATTCTGGACTGTTGGAACGCAACCAAAACCAAACTATCAAATCACATTGTCAAACGTCAGACCGGTTAAACTGAATTTGTGAACTTTAATAAGATTACCTAGGTGTTGAATTGTGATTTTCTGTCGATCAACTAGGAAAATTTGGAAATGAGTGAACAACTAGACGGTAAGATAACAAAAAATTGTAATTTGCCGTAATATAAGTAATTAATAATTTCAGATTTATCAGAATTCATAATTCTGAGAAATATAACAAATAGTGCTTCTTCGCCTCCTTTTCAAGCAGTAACAGTAAATGAGGAAAAGTCGAAAGACCCGCAGATTTATATATGGACACGCTCGTTCACATTAAATTTAATAAAGATTTTTCAATAAAATCGAAAGAAAGTGGGCACCCTGGAAGTTAAGAGCTTACGAAGGCTATGGCAGTTGTTAGCTGAATTAATGGAGAGTAAATATGGAGTAAACGTAACCCCATCACAGTGTGAAAACAGGTGGAGGGTTCTAGAAAGAAATTATAAAAAATTAATTGACAATAACAACAAGACTGGAAGGGGAAGGATTCACTTCGAATTTGAAAAAGAGATGGAGGAAATATTAGGACACAAAAAAAGTGTAAAACCACTAATGCTGTTATCATCAGAAAGTGTCTGCGGACTGATAGAAACAAACAAAGAGGAAAAACAAGCAGGTGAAGTTTCAATGCAAACTATAGATAACGAAGAAGAATCTATGAACACTTGTCAAGATCAATCTGACGAACAAGGAAACAGCCCAAACCCTCAAACCAAAGAAAAACGCTTCGAAATAAAAAGGCATAAAGTGAAGTTCACTAGAAATGATATTTTAAAAAAAATTAGATGTGATAAACTAAAATATAATACTGAACGATTAAGTACAGAAAAGGAGAATATTTTACTAGAGAAACAAAATTTTGAAGAAAAGAAACGTAAAAATGATCTAATAGAGGAAAGGAATGCCTTAATTAGACGATGTATCAAAAAAAACATTCCTTTCCCCAATGAGAATATATGAATAGATTTTGTAGGGGTTTAGGAAGACTATCTCTCAGTAATGTTAATTTGTTTCCAGGTTCATTCCAATTGTTGGTATTGAAATGTGATTTTGTTTTGTTGCAGCAATCCGAGAAAAATCTTCGGACTGATCAAGCGGTTGGAAATCAGTTGCAAATCGATCAGAGTTTTAGTTGGAACATGACATTCCTAGTCAGAATTTCGGAATCGACTCTTGTTGGAACGGAATATTTGTTGTGCGCATGCTTAGGACAGTTTATGACCGATCAGATGTGTTGTTGGAACAAACCTATTTATAAGTGACAAGTAATCCTAATTTATGACAAGACAAACCTTCACAGTTTCATTTTTCTTTTATACAGCGTTGCCAATTCAATTTCATTACTTCCGTAAATAATGTATTACTATTGGATATTTATATTACGATGTTACCCTGAAGCACAATCTATTACGTTTTCATAATGGGGAATGTTCCTCCTGACGAAAATCAAGTAGTTTTCATAAAAAGCTCTAAAATAACGCATTTCAAACTTATCGTTTCAAACTTTTTCTTTAAAAAATTATTAAAATACTTAAAAACGAGGAATGAAATAATGCATTCAACATTTAAAGGGATTCGTTTCTATTTCACCATTTGGCAACATTGGTTATAGCTAATAAAGGACAATGAATCGGTTACCTGTATGAGACAAACAAAGATGACATATTTCAGAGGCGCGTGCTGTTCTGTTTACTTATGTTCCGAGTTCCGAGGCATTCTGTGACATATGACATTCTGTGACATATTACATTTTGTGCACCTAACCTAACTTCCTCTATATAAATAAATAACAAAACAACTGTTGTTTATGTGGCTTGTGGAGGTGGCATTGAACTATAATTTATATTTTGCCTTAATTGTTGATTTATAAAGATAATTTTCCTTTTTTAAAGTGGAATATCTAGGTACGTACAAATTATTCCAACTTGATATATCATATCAAGGCGCATATATAATATGTGAATTAGAAACAAATCCCTTTGAAAATTAAAACCCAACATTTGAAACATCAATTTGAATACTTTTCGAAGTGAATTTGAAAAACTCATGAACTAAACTCAACTTTATTTTGTTCAAACTTGCATTTGCGGTAATAACCCAAATTGAGGAACATTCCCCATTTGATTATTCTAATTATTTTTCTAGTGTATTTCTAGTCAGAAAAAGTCAGAAGTTGGACTATGGGCAGACACTATTTGAGATGTAACTTCATGCTGTAGAGAAAATAAGGTAATGGTTCAGCCGTTGATGATGTCGATGTATGCGAACTTTCATTGGCTCTTTTGAGTTTTCACAAGTAATTTATGAAATATATGGAATATTGATTAAGTGTATGGCCTTTTATACAATGGTATGGCGGAATGTCAATTTATTACTCACTTGTCCATTATTTACGACATTTAGTCGGAGAGCCAGTGACGCATGTTTCATGAAGTGTTTGATGCACTCTGAAATTTTGAAGGGCTAGTATCTATGGAATGAGAAGTACGAATACCTGTGGTTGCCTAACCCTGCCCGGGACACCAGGTACTGCGCATAATAAAAAGGTGTGAAAAAATATAAGCCAAAATAAGTGTTTGATTCACAGGCCAACAAACTTTAATCAAAAGATTAGTTAATTTTTAATTATGATTTAAGATGGCAGTCACCTTGGAGAGGGTTTACATATAATTAATTTCCCTCAAAATTTTTATTTTTAACAAAATGAAATGTTCGATTCATTATGAAATTGTAACAGCTACTTAATCAAATATTCAGAAAGTTAATTACAAAAAGCCATACAGTTTTGTTGGGGTTTAATTTCCTCACCTTCTCCCACCTCAAGCTGTAACGGATGGATTTGTGCTGACATTGAAGACCATTGACGATAGTTGTGCTTACCTATTGAATAGACTCTATGCTTACATTGCGAACAAACATATGTGCTTGCTAGAGCGATGTCTTCGTAGTGCATAGACCATTGTTTTCGCCTGTATAATATATCTGGATTATTTTTAGCTCACTGTGCTTGACAAATTCCTGGACAGTAATTTCAACCCAATTGTGGATTGGCCCGCCCCAGGTCCACTTAAGTGTGGCCACATTTGGATTTAACAACAACGATCGTTACCAACTGGCCGGATAGCCTTAGTTGCTAAGGCCATTGAATCGACAAGAAAAAGAATTGTATGTTATTTGTTTATGTTGTATGTATTGTAAAACAGTAGAGAATATTTTGAAAGTTGTTCCTATTATTCAGTCGAAAAATGACTCAAATAAGCACAAAGGAAAAATTGTTATATATAATTGATGATATGGAACTGATATCAAAGTGAGTATTTCATACCTGATGATATATTTTTTTTATGTAAATACCATTTCAGAGAAATAATCGAAAATGCAATTGCCCCAAAAAGTTCAAAACTATCTGGACCCGAGTATGCCCAATTAACCGATCTTTTAGTTGCAAAAGATCAGGAATTAAAGGAAACTCTACAATTGGCAGCTGAGCAAGCTCACATCAACAAAAAATTGGATATCCTAAAGGCGGAAGTGGAACGTCAAGATCAAGATATAAACCATCTTCAAAAACAATTGAAAGAAGCTGAACAAATTCTCTCCACGGCTATATACCAAGCAAATCAAAAATTACAATCTATTGCTCGAGCAAATCGCAAACCTGTATCGTCAGAAGAGCTCATAAAATTTGCTCACAGAATCAGTGCCTCAAATGCCATTTGCGCTCCTCTCACTTGGCAACAAGGCGATCCACGAAGACCATATCCTACAGATATTGAAATGAGATTAGGCTTGCTTGGCAGGCTTGGTGACCCCATGAATGGTCATTTGATGGCCCAACAAAATAATATGTCTGATTTGCATAGACCTGGTCATCCAGGCGGTGAGTATCTAACTTGGATTAGTTCATTTTAATAGATTTTCATCATCCTTTTCACCTTTTACCACCTAAAAAATTATTTGTAATGGAAAATATATCTTTAAATCGCCCCCTATAAGTTACTGTGTAAACAAAGACCTACAGATACTTATCTTAACGTTTCGGAGGCCAAAATCTACCTCTGTCTTCAGAATAGAAAAAGTCAAATAACTTGCAGTTTTTTCATTTAATTCGTTTTATATTTGAATTTTCGCGACAGATGTCAAAGAAGTTTCAAACAATGGAAAACAAGGATGACAATGATTTTGGCTGACTGCTAATTGTGAACTAGGTTAATTGCTGTTCTGAAGGTTTAGATTACATTTTACTTCATTTAAGTAAGAATATTGTTGCTTTGATTTGTGAACTCCAAGTTTTATCAAGTTTCTTGTTCTATGTTGACATATTCTTAAAAATTTAAGATTGGATAACAACTAACATTTATCTCTGACTTTTAGCCAAGTTTTATCTTTTCAAGCATATATTTTAGTTTTTTGTCAAACTCATATGCCTCTAATTCAACAATATTCCTGTAAAGGTATCAATTTACAACCAAGTATTTTTATATTGTAAAAAGCTGTCGTGACGTAACTTGGTTTTATTTATTTTTTATTTTTTGGTTGTAGCTTGTATGTTATTTCTTTGTAATTTCAGTTTTTTATTTAATAAAATTATTTTTGGTTAATCTTTTTAATTTTTTTCAGGGATTTCAAATCAATTTATATTAAATTAGACAATGGAAGTCCGAACTGATGAAATGTAAACTGGGTTCGAAATTTTGTCACAAGCTTCCGAATAGCTCCTTCAGTAGACCGACGAAACTGCCCATAAATTGGAAGAAGTGCACGATGCACTTTTTTTCTCCGAGCATGAATTTTGATAATGAAATTCAATCATTTGTAAGCGTTGTTCATTCGTAAGTCGATTCATGTTAAATTATAGACCAAACTGAAAAAGTTTGACAATGACACAAGACACGATTTACGCGTGATGTGTTAAAAACAGTGTTGGCAAAAAGATACCAGCAAAAAAATCACCCATCAGCTGGAGCATTTTTAGCAATATTTACTTCAACATGTCAATCATCGACTATTAACCTAACCTTGGTATGGTATAAATTTAGTTTTGATGACCTCTTCTTGAGCCTCATCAATAGGTAGAACCAGAACCTCTGGAAACACAAATTATTTTTTCTATATACCAGGACTATATTGAAAATATAAATAATACTGAGTTAGTCGTGAGGAATTTGTGAAGAACATCTCCTGAGGGTGACAACTTGATTCCCCGAGATAGGCCTTGAAAATAATAATGAGTATCAACATACTTATTTTACACATTAGTAATTTGTTGGGAAGACTATGCATTTAGACAAATTTCCTTTTATTGAAAATTAATATATGTATTGTAAATTCACTGTCATAATATTAATACTAGTATTTATTTTTCATCGATAATTTTTAATGCAATGACAATTTTTTTTTATAGAAATACCTGCAGCACAACAAAACCAGTTTGCTTGGCATCCGTCAGGGGAAATGCATATAAGTGTTGGCCAAGGTACTGTTCCTATGGATACTAGGAATCATAAGCAAGAAAATGAAGATGTGGAGGTGATGTCTACTGATTCTAGTAGTAGTTCTTCCAGTGATTCTCAATAGCCCTATGAGATCAAAATTTTAGCTTAAATTGTTTATATTGTTTATATTAAACTGGTATCTTAACTTTTTTTCCTTGAGGAACATATCTAGTTTTACAATGAAATTTGTATTACATAATAGAGTGAAGTACCTTCTATTACCTACAGGTAATTACCTATTGCCTTCCTAGTGCCTTCTATTATCTACAGGTAATAGAAGGCACCTCCTAGTCATTGTTCTAGAATTTCTGGCATCAAATGGAGTTTTGTTTTTGGAAGTCAGTAATCTGATATTGAGTTTTTTGGAAAGATATTCAATTTCGGAGACCAAAAAAGTCTAGTGTCTAATGTTTTGGAAAGTCTGGAAATAGCGTGTTGCATGAGAACTATTAACTGCAACAAAGGTTCTATTCCAAACAGCCTATTAAACTTTGCGGGAACCTTCACGAGAAAATTTCTCGGCAATTTCTCAGTTATTGACGTGTGCTCAAAATGAAAGTACCCTGTAAATATAAATATATAAAGGTTTGGAATTCGAATCACTGAAATAATTGAAAATTAAGTGTGAAGAGAAACATTTTGAATTATATATTCTCGAACTTCACAAGAAAAAATTGACTATAGGTTTTGATCACTTCAAATAAGAAAATTGTAATTCTGGGGATTTCAACGTCAACTTCGCTAATGAAACAGAAAATGCTCAATATCTGTTGTACCTGTCTGACTTAACTGGCAAACAAAATATTTTACTAGGGTATCAAATATTCCTGCTTCGAAAATAAACATTTTCACGAACATTGATGAAGCACAGAGTTCAGCTAATACTTATTGGATTATCAGATAATAAATATACAAGTTTTCAATATAAAAATAGTTGCACTTCTGTTGGAAATTTAGACGAGGAGTCGTCGTTAACACTATCGTTTTCTAAAAAGATCGCAGAGTTTGTAGTATCATTATTGGCATTTTGTTGAGATGTTGATGCGTTTTCATCAATGATATCTACTTGAGAAATAGATACCGTTGACGTACCACCATTCACTTCGCATAGGTCTTCAAGACCCACCGATTTGCCAGCGGGGACGTTAATCTTCGACTTACGTTTGGGTCTAGTCGTGGTTTGATCCAAAGGAACAGCAATCGCGTTCATCACTTCTGTAAATAACGCTCTCATTGCATCATCTGTGCCTCCTGCTGGTTGTTTCCGAATACTTTTCAAAACTTGTTCTGAATCGAATGGGATTATGCCGGATGCTCGGAAACCAGACCGTATATTATACGAAATGCTATCTTTCGATTTTTCCAGAAGCTTCTTCAGCAGCGAAGGAAATACAGATTTTGGCACAACTCCTTTATGGGCCCGTTTCCATTCGGTCAGAATTTCTCGCCACACCCGTTTTAGAGGTACAAAACTGCAAAGTCCAGGGACTGACATAAGTGTGTCGAATTCTTCGGCAAAAAAACAAACCGAATATTGTTTTCTGTGCAACTTTTGATAATGCGGTAGGAAAGATGATTTGCCAGGTTGTTGCAAATAGGAACCTTCTTGCCCTCCTTTCGTCGCAGATAGGGAAGGGCTGTTTTGAGGAACCAGTCCTCAAAACATTGAATATCGAACCATCCACTTAGTGTTCTGTTATATTGCGTGTTTTTGTGACCACCTTCTATCCAGTCTGGGTAGAGGTTTGCACTTTTGTACACAACGTATGGAGGTAAACAAGTGCCATCTCCAGCCGCAGCAAACATAACAGACGTTGACATCTTAGAAAAATCCATTATCCTTCGCGCATGCTTCTCTCCACGAGAAATAAAAACTAGTTTTTTACCGGGATCATCTGATAGGTTTGTTTCATCTATATTAACAATATTTTCAGGTGAAACCCCCTAGATTGTCTCGTTCAAGTGCTTAAAGTATTCTTTAATCGTGTCTTCTGTGATTTCAGCTTTCACTCGTTTAATATTTTCACAATTACGGAGTGATAACTCCTTGTGTCGCCCCATAAAGTGTTCAATTCAGTCATCACCAGGTCTATTATCGTTAAAACATTGTATATTTACGCCCTTACTGTTCAAATGATGGCGCACGAAGTCCTTGATTGTTTGCCTCTCAAAAGGATATTCGAATTTTCCTGCAGTAGTCATGGCATCTACTATCCAACGCTCTTCAGTCACTGACAAAATTGGGGGCCTCCCGAGTTTGTCAGAATGCTCACCTCTGTAAATATCGTAAAGGGTGCTTTTTGGTACCCCGTGCATTTCTGCTGCTTGTTTGAATGAATATCCACCATCTAATACGGTCTTCAATGCTCTTTCCATGCTTTCTTGGAAATAATTGCGCCGATAAGGCGTTCCCAGCTTATGAAGGTATTTTCGTGGCATATCCGATATTACCCCTGAAAAACACACTTTCAGTTAATTTCGATTTTATGCAAAAAAGAAGGACGCAAAATGAACTTCGAGGTTATGGGGGTCTTTATAAGATTAAAAACAAATATTAATCCCATTGCACCATGTACCTATCATGCACAGGGTTCACACGCCAGAGGACACTATTTGGCTGTCTCAATTAAAAAAAAAAGTGACTACTAATTAATTTTTTGTGAGCTTACCTTGATTTTCTGATCGATCGCGAAACACATGTACGACGTACGTCCAATATAACCCCTGCCATCCGATATAACCCCGGTTGACGGTACCACTCTTTGAGGGAAATTAGGAAACGTTATAGATTAGCAATTCAAAATGAAAAATATCACATAACTCAGGGCTGGCTAATCATAATAGCAAGAAATGACATTGTCACTCATAAATTCCAAAATGTCTCTCCTTCTAGCCTCCAAATTTTGCCATATGACAACTTCAACGAATACTTTTTGTAACATTGGCAAGAATATTTTTCGAAAGTTTGGTTCTAACAACGATACATATGCTATATTAGAAAAAAACCACACAATACATATATCACATCAATTCAGAATAACAGTGTAACTTTTTTTTACCCAAACTTGGTAACAGAATTAGAATCAAGTACTCTGATACACAGACAAAGCACATCAATTGAAGTCAAAAGATAATATGGAAAAAGCACAGATTGTATTAAATTTATTCAGCATAAAAACGCTTCAGTAAGCTATTGTACCTAAAGCAAAACATGTGTTGCGATTGTTTGCAATTTTTAAACACAATAAAGTGTCATTTGAAAACATGCATCTACTTTTTGTTTTTATGTTATTTTCTCTTTCTGAGAATCTAAATTACTGTACTATTATCTTCACTCACTCAGTTCATTAGATAAAATGATATTCTGAATTTTGAACGTGGCTTCTTGAAAATTTGTTTTATTTAAAGATTTTTTAAATTCATATCATGCATTTAAAAAATCGAGGAAAGACACGCTTCATGTCGTGTCTTTCCTCGATACTATGGTATCGTTGTCTTTCCTTGATAGGCTAGTATCAAGGAAGTGGTCATAATGAAATCTCAATTTAAATTTGTGATCTCATAATTATAATTTTGGGAACATCGCTAGATGCCAAAGAATTTGTTATTGAATGAAACTGGCCTCAGAGTAACAAAAGACAATAGAACAATAGAGAGGCCTTTTCCATCCTTACATTGAAGGCAGCATAACTTTGTTTACGAGAAGTAAGTTGGACCATAAACAATGGCGGTTGGTTTAGTTGATAATCGGAAGGATATTATATATTTATAAAATAAATCATTTCAGGTGAAAATGTATTCTGTTCAAATAGTTCTAACAAGAAATCTGATTTATTGTCAATGATTATGGAAATGGGCAGTGGCGTGCCCAGGATTTTGCCTTGGGGGGGTCAGG